TGCGTATGTTAACTTCTGTGGTATGTTACCTTAACACAACCAGTCTGTTGCACTGTTTGCAGACACTCTCCAGCTCAGACACATGTTGACGTTGAATTCGTTGTTCTGTCAATTTGCTCATGCATCGTTTTATAAGATGTAATAAATAAATACAGCATGGATGGCGTTGGCAGGTAGACAAGCTGATCTACATGCATCTCGGAACTTGTAATTCCCAGTACTTGCCTTCGAAACCAAGCTTTTATATATCATTAACTGCATGATGAGTGCAGCGACAGCAGTCTGTCTGTCTCCAACACTTTGCTTAACAGTGTGTTGTTTAGACTGGTGCCTGCCCAGTAATAAAAACAAATGACGAAACACGCGCATCGAAAAAGCGCCTGCGAAATTGAATTGTTTCGAGACTAAACTATTCATTTTGCTGATAATTTTGTTAAATCGAATGACGGAACAGCACATTTGCGCACAGTCTTAAATTAAGTCGAAACGGAATGACCGTTTAACAGCAGCATTCAATTTTGCACGGATTAGGATGGCACAGAGGGACCGGGAAAACGTATAGTGTTCAAGACAGGGGTAACAAACATGTGTAGTTGGATAGGGAATGCGAGTTCGATGCGCCTTTTCGTCTGAGCATACTTGAATTGATACCACAATGGATACGTTGTGAAATGGCCTATTTTGTTGATAAATTATGTCGGTTTACTTAATTACTGATTTCTGTACCCAGCACGGTCAATGGCGCATGTTACACGCGTCCCGTCTCGTAATTAATATTCCTCTGTTAGTTATAAACAGATCACTCGGGCGTAGTGAGTGGGTTGTGGGTCGCTATATAGCTGAGATAACAAAATCCTTTCCTTGCTGATACACTGAGCAGTCCAAGGCTAGGCCTGATGCCAAGGATGTGTCTTTGGGGGTACTGGCATAGTCATGGACGGTCGCGCACATTCTTCCAGGCATCGTTGATCATGTTGCTATAATTTTGTAAAGTACTTGTGGAATGAAATACGTTTCAACTGATGGACGGAAGGCGTACATATACTATGATTTCGGCAAATTTTGTATAACAACTTGCTCAAGCTAACTTGCTTGATGCCATGATATTCAGTCCTTGAGGCTGTCTAAGAAGCTATTTTTTTTTTGCTATAATTGACTTTTTCCTGACAAAGTTGCTCGTCCTCGCGGCAAACGTACATCTGCCCGATGGATTATGGGTGACAGTGTTTCTGATGAAAATCGACCCTGTTTTAGATCTGAAATGTTCCCGCGATATACATTACAATTTATAGATGCTATTCGCAACTGAAGCAAGTTGGACACTGGGGTATAGTGTCCATTAGAGTGCACAGCTTTTACTAAGCTTTTTACACAATCTGTAAAGACCTTCTTCCTAAAGAGACTAGAATATCATTACGAATATTTTGGGCAGCAGTGAACATGTAGGGGGTGCGCACACACATTATTAGAGAAATTTTCCCGTCTGGGTCCAGGGTAAAATCTGGTTTACCTTTACAAGGTATGTTCACGGACCAATATTATTTCTCTTTTTCATTAATGACATTTCGTAAAGTATACATGCAGTTCCCTTTGCTCAATGTCTCTAATGGTGGCATCGAGATTTTCCAGTTTGACTTATATACTCTGTGAATTGTCAGATCACCAGAAATTGAATTTTGAAAAGTGTAAAGTTATGGATATGCCAAGAAGGTATCCAGCATCCTCTCTAGCATTTGCTGCAAATCTCAGGAGATCGCCACTCTCATAATTATCTTACTTACGCACGTGCATTACTCCCAATGGATCTGTATTGATATGTCATCACACTAACACTTTCTACTAAAAGGAAACTTGCAGTAGTTTTCCAGAGAGGTGACTCTAAAATGTGAGGTAAGGACAATTGTTTGAGCTTTTGACACAGATCTATTAATAATAATATGTAGTCGACCGCTAACTTTGTACGGTAAAGGAGTCATGTCGAGCTAGAAAATAAACCGGAATAAACGCTAGCTGACATGACATTTACAACAAGTCCGTCAAAACGTTACGACCTTTTACATGAAGTGAAATGCTAGGATCCTATTTGGAAGACGCTTAACATTTATCTAATCCGATCTAGACAGGATTACTGTAGCATAGCTCTGGACCCATGTAGACGTAACCACTCTTCTGTTGTCATACGTGCAAAAGTGCTGGTTTTATTTACAGTGATAAGCTCACAAGTTGCCACACTCTATTAAATTATACAGGCAGGACTGATATCCACACTATGACAATTATTTCTGTTATGTGTGTTTAGTTGTGAAGGGCTTATTGTCTCTTAAAAAGTCTCATCCAGCCTTGAGAATTGGCTGAATTTACAATTAGTCTTAAGATTCGTTTTGTCTGTACTAATTGTTCTAAATGGTCCTTTTTCGTTCGTACAACTAATGAGTGAAGTCTATCTGAACACGTTATCTGAACTGAAGGTGTAATTTTGCAATTTTATCGCTGTTTCACTTCTCTAGTTTCAACATATTATATATTAATGTGCGACAGTCCACTCATATTCCTATTTGATACTCCCTGCCCTATTTATTATACGTCAGAGGGTTTTTATCGTGCCCATTTTACTATCTTCCTGTATTAATGCATCGTTATCCCGATCCTCATTTTTTTCAGTTTAGCTATTTTAAAGTTTCATTTGTTTTATCCCAGAAGTAGTTCAAGATGGACTGATTGATCTTTTCCACCCTTCTCGTTGTAACAAATTTATTAAGAGATAAACAACAGTTGCTCTTTCCTGGGCGTAAAACAAAAATACACTTCTTGGTTTTTAAAAAGGCTTCTACTCACTAGTAGCAACATGGTAAAAACAGTCGTGTCGCCAGCCGCTGAATCATTAATTCGGCACTACACAGCTAAAGCTTAACAGACAAATGCATCATCATGCCCACAGCCTTTACAGATGTCATCCTCATGATTTCATTTACCAGATCTCAAAAAATGGGGTTTGAAACACTTGCCGTGAAAAATGTACCGCGCCGTGTTAGCTGAGTTATTAATGACATTTACGGGTATTTCTCTAACAGAGTAAACAGGCCGACATCGTATAACGATCAGACGGGTACCTTTGAAAATTGCGCGTAACGAGATACATTTACGGCGCGTTACTTATCCGCATATCCATCCATCCACAGTTTATGCATTAAAGCTACTGAGTGTGTCTTCTCTGGATCGACAAACCCGCGTTGAAGTGTGTACAAACCAAGACTGCTGTGGGGGGTGGGGTGTCTCAGGACAGGCCATCAATCCAAGTAGTATGATATGCAGATTTCGTAATTTCCCCCAGGTTTTGCGGGTAGTCGCGCAAAGTCAAACAGCAAACCAAATTAAATGGAATAGGAGTTCAGTAAGCAAACTGTCACTGACAGTGACCGTAGATTAGTTTATTCCCGGCTGCTGTCGTTTTCATATCGCGTACCCCCCCCTCCGTGGTCGTTAAAGGCGCGGTGATCTTCATCAACAGACAGGCCACCAGTCACCATGGTGACTGCGAGTTCTTCTAATGATGCTCTTCGGATCTATCTTTCCTAGAATGATTTTGTTGGACACACTCCGTCGCTGAAACCTACCGTGATGGTCTTTGCATCAGTTGATTTTCGATACTTAATCCCCTTCAACATAACTGATTATGTGATTAACTCTTCCCATGAATGCTGCGTACCAGCTATCGTATCCGAATGCATTTCTCAACCAGTATTTCAAGTCTGACAAGTGGGCCTAGGATTATAAATTTCAAATGTGAGTACTTTTGTTACTGTACTCAAATACTCAAACAGGCCTAATTCATAGCAGTAATGATCATAACAATGGATGGCGTTGACAACAATACATTTAATGTTAATTTTCTTTATATCGGGAGTTTTATGCCCTTTCCCAACATTTACAAACACTGTAAAATTGTTCTTTTAGGCCGGGCTTTAAAAAAAAATAGCCTACTTTGTTGGGACTTGACCTCATGCTATTAATGTAAAGCAGACGTCACACCACTTGACCGACAAGCTTACTTGGGTCGGCTGACCGCCGTCCGGTCTGGGTCAAAATGAACAGGGGGTACCGCTGTGCGGAAAACAATTACAACTTACGTTAAAAATGACTGAATTCAGTGGAGCGGCGAAGCCAGGGTTCTGTTTACAGGAGGAGCGGGGGGGGGGCTCGAGGGGATAGTGATGAACATGACCACTGAAGTTATAAGGTCAACACGTGCTTCGTTGTAATTCTGTACTCCAGTGTGAAATAAGGTCACAATGAAATGTAATTCGACTCAAAATAATTTAAACACAGTGATGAACATATTATCAGTTAGTGAATTTATCTTCAAGCAAACTTGATGCGCGGTAAAGATGTTATAAGGGCCTATGCATATCAAACGCACCACCTTAGAATTTGCAGTAAAATTGGAAGTTGTGCGTTGCTTTTAGCGTAAAATTAGCGCATTGCGTCGAGTTAAATAGCGCATTACGCGGAGTTTGACATGGAATGTGCAACACAGTTATATGTCACACTGTTTATTGCCATGAGTCAACCAATCAGAATTGAGAATTCAAGTTTGCCTGAAGATAAAGGTTGATGAACCAGCTTTCCAGCTACCGTGGCACAAGTGCTTACAGAATCGGGGATTTCCCATTTATGTATTTTCCCGCATGCCTTATTTCCAATGGGTGGCCGTGAATGGGAGCGACGATTTCTTTTGGGGGGAGGCGTCCTTAAGCCTCCTTGGCTACACCACTGACTAAACCCTCATGGATGGACTAACTGTTAGGCGTATCCCTTAAAAGTGTCACTCAGTCAGAGATTGAAGTTATTGCTGCAATCAATGTGTATATATATGACGTCTTTTATGACGGTATGCCAAGCGCCGGTGTACAGCTCAACCAGTAACACGCGCATGCGCATCTTCACTGCTCTTCCGTGGTCACGCACGAGCACGGCTTCTATTGCCAGCAGGTCGGGTGATCACGTAAACTGCAAGCCACCAAGAATGTTACAAGTACAGCCAGCCCATCGCTCCCGCTGAATATATTATGCTGGGAACATCGTAGAAACTAATCTACGTTCTTACCACTACCAACTGTAGCTCATCAGTACGAATGAAATACGCTTAGCCTGCAGTAAAGTTAACTGCATTTTCGTGCAAAAATGGTCTTGGACACGAGTCATTTGAACTGTTCAGATCTCTTCCAACTCAACCTGACTGATGATGTCAAGCGGGCATCAACTTACCTGGTTAACCCAGGATCTCGAGCGATCGCCCTGGGTATCCAGATCCTAGCCCTGGTCATCGGTGTGCCTGGGAATGTGTCCTTCCTTGTGTCTGTAGCCCGGGTGGCTTACATGAAGACCATCACCAACATCTTCTTGATCAACTTGGCCGTTGCCGATATCCTCTTTCTAGTCTTCACTATATTCAGTTACCTGATGTATCTGCCGGCTCCCGTTCGCAGTCACATTCACTCGTTGCTTAACCTCAGCTGCCCTGTGTCGTTCGGCATTCCATTCCTAACCTACTTTGCATCCGTCGCCACTATCTGTTTACTCTCTGCTGAGCGCTACAACGCCATTTGCCGCCCGCTGAAACACCTGGCTGTCAACAGCAAGCGACGGGCGGTCAAGCTCATCTTGGGCACCTGGTGCGTGGGCCTGGCCTTTACATCCCTGGCCGTCTTGCAGTACGCCGACCCGGTCCGCATCTGTGTCACCTGGCCGAGCGGTAACGGCACCGAGAAATTCGCCGATCTCCCCGACATCATCGGCTTCTGCCTGCCGCTGGCACCGTGGGCCTTGGTGGTCGGCAACCTGGCCTCATCCATACCGTTCATGATTGCGCTGCTAGGCAATGCGGTTATGTACGTCCAGATCATCCGCACTCTAGGCAAACGCCACATTACCGAGACTAATGGCCAGGAAGACATGGCGCACAGAGCTCGTCGGGTCCGCAACCAAGTCGCTCGTATGCTTGTCACAAATGGTACGGTCTTCTTCATCTGCCAGGTCCCATATGCCTGCATCAATTTCGTCTACATTGCCGGCTATTTCAGAGGACTGGAATTCTTGGAAGTCAATGATCTTCAGAACAGTATGAGGGTTTTCAGTCATAGCCTTCTGTTCCTGAACTCGGCTATCAATCCCATTATTTATTACGCCATGTGCCCCACGTACCGTAGGGCAGTACGCGTAGCCTTCCGCAGCAGTACGCACTCCTCAGTCGTATAAAAGGTGGCGATACACCAGTTGCTCTGATAATTCAAGCGCGACATTTGATAAACCCAATGTAGCAGCTGTCTCTCTGCCCATCTGTCTCTGCATCTGCACTACTTCATCGGCCACAGCTACCGTTTTGTTAGGTTTATTTTATAATTGTAACATCGGTGGCAGCAATGTTAACCTGTAGAAGCCACTGCAGTGTCATTCAGTGAACTGGTTTCCTGTGGTTTGTGTCGTCTTCAAAGATCATTTTGCGGTGCGCTGTCCCTGCCGTTCCTGTCATCTATCCTGCGTCCACACTACCTTATCAGCCACGGCCACCGTAACATTATCTGTTATTTATTATTAGTGTTATAATAAGAGAGCGCAGCGATTCAGATAATTCCCGCGGCTAGTAATTTTCTGCCGAGGCTTAGTTTGTGTAAACTAATTACTGCCTCCATGGCATGATCCGACATAGCCGCACTGTCGATTTGGGTCCATGACACAAGTCATCCAAACAAGGTGAAAATTGTCCCGGCATGCTCAGTTTATGTCGGGGCAAATGGAACGGTTATAAACCCATAAAGTCCCATTAAAGGGAACAGTAGATCTAATCCAGTAGCACTATAAATCTAATTTGGGAAATTGGGTAAAGCAAGTTGGTTGGGAACCTCACCAGACGATTGAGGGGAGGCACAGAGGCCAACTATTTTTGTGAGTTCTTTGAGTATTATAATCCGTGCACATGGGGGTTAGCATAGCTGTCATCTTTATGGGCTAGTGCTTTTAAATTTGTTCCTCAGGATATGCCCAAAAGAGGTTTCCCTGTGGAACACAAGAACTGACCTGCAAGATGGCTGCCGTGCAAAGGCTCTATAGCCTAGGCGAAGGCTGTCTTTTTGTTCCCGCTGCCGTGAAACTTCCCTTGTTGTGTGCCAACTGCATAGTTCAGGCAGCTCAGGTGTAGGTGACCAAAGGTGTGGGTGAAGTACATAATCCTAGAATCTAAACGAATAATGTGTTTTTCGTAGATACTTCATGCTTCATGTTGCAATGTGTATGATTCTGCAACTATCAATCTGGATCAATCTAAAGTAAAATAATAAATCAAGGTCCAATATAATAATACAGAACAGGAAATAATGATTAGCAGCTTAACATGTTATACGTAAACATTAGCAGGGAACCAGTTGCAAAAAAAATTAAATAATACGCTTGCATGATTTTGATTGCTAACTTGCTTGGTTTGGGCCAAGTACATATTTTCTTTTTTTGGCCAATTTTCTGCTTTGCAGCTCTATCAAATTGGATCCTGGTTTCTTGGAAGGTTACAAATATTGGATAACAGGGAAGAATGACGAAAAGGGAATACAGTCAGCTCGTTTGCAGAGCTCTTGAGACATTAATAATAGTAATGCGCTTGACTTTTGCTTGAATTTGCGTCAACCGTAAATTTTAATGACTGGATTGCAATTGATTCTGTATAAAATGTAAAGCTCTCTTACTGTACGATAAACGTTATAGGTGAAAAATTTTTGAGTTATTGCTAAATATTTACTATTGCTCTGGATTGTTTGTTTTTTCGCCATGCTGAGAGCTATATGAGTGTTTTGTACTGCTGGTTAACCAATGTAAATCAAGTTGTGGTTGACTTTTGCGTCAAAGTAGGGGAAAGAGGCATCTGACCAGTTTGAAGTGGTATTTGTCAAAACTTTTCCTTTTATTCCGAGAAATGCCCGTGTTCCTTGAATTCGAAGCCTTATTAGAGATGATCTTTGTATACATTCCCTTGGTTTCATCGTGTGCCTTCTTGTTGTTAAATTGCTGTGTATGTCAGGTAAACTGTCAGGTAAAACTTTCCCCACAACCTTTTTTTTCTGACTGATATGAAATGAAGATCATGCGCCCGCACCCAACGTCATTGTGTCTGAATATTCAACGTATAGATGCAATTGTTACTTCTTTTACACCTGAAAAAAGTTTAAATACCTTTGAGACATAAATCTGGTAGATTTAGTTATTACAAGGTCAACACTTAATAACTAGTGTTCTTTCTGGCCTCAACATTTCGTTCTTGGTATACTACTGTCTGCGATCATATCGTCCTCTAGGCCCATCAATGGAGTACGGTTGTCAACTGGTTGTTAAATTGTAAAAAAAAACTGCCTCTTTTTATCATTATTTCCCATAGAAGAAAAAGAGACAAAATTCCTATTTACGGAACACAGGATATGAAATGTTGCAAGAAATGTTCCCGTGAGGATTGTACTGTTACCACGTCCTTGAAGATTATCTCCACAAGGGCATTTCTTCCGACATGTCAATTCAAACACTCTGCATCCTAAAATACCTTCAGGGAAAACCAAGTCGAAAAGTGTGGAGTACGTGTGATTAGTATATACTTACTAATGCAAAATGTGTGACATTATTTTGTACGTTAAAAATTATATGCATAAGGAAAAAAATCTCAGTACCAGCGTATTTGATGGTGAGGATGCAATAAAACGTGTCCAAGAAAAATTCAATGTCAAACACTGTCAGCCAATCTGGCTACCTGCCTGTGAGTGAGGCGTGCACATCAATGCGTCAGCCTACAAGGGTGGTTGTAACATTACGTAATATGACTGTTATCAGAGAGGCTTGCCGGTACCAATGCAAACAGCTAATATGGAAGCAAGCTTTTTTCCACTGAGTAAACCTTTCCTGGACAAATTTAAGAAAACGCTGATACTGTCAAATTTGAATTCTCCCAAGTGGAAATCAAGTTGTCTAAAAAGTAACACCAAACTATTACAATACAAATAAAAACGAATTCTTTCCACTATCTGCTATTTCGCGCAAACGATCTCTACTGATTTGCCACGTTTTTGCAAATGGCATTGAAATATTCTGCTCCAGCTATAAAATTGTGTAAATCTGTTGCAAATTATATTATATGCCGGCAACGCAGGAAATTGGTTTCAGACACCCCGCTTGTTTTTACGGAGTTTTGATAGTCGGATAGGGTACCGGTAGCTTTGTGCAATATGACTTGCCAAAAATAAATCCCTCGACTTCATAAAGTAATATGTGATGTTAGCACTGACTGCATTAGAGAAACTAGGAGCCGGGGCACGTGGAACACCCCCCCCCCCATCCATGTCCTGGGTATCCCAGTATTTGAGATTTTGAAATGTACACAACCCATGTAGGCCTACAAGCCACAGTTTATTTGCTTATAGGGCCCCTTGAAAACAAAATATGTGCAACCCACCGCATAGTTACACTACTGACTGACTGATGGATGACTTCATGTGTCTTTTGACATCAACGTATGCCCTAGAGTTCAGGACTGGTTAGGGATTGTGTTAGGACCTTGCACAATCTCGACTCCATGGGCTGCGTGCGCGTTCCTTCACTAGCCTCCTGGTCGTGTAGAATTCGAGAATTGCGCTGAATGGCTATTCAGAATGAATATACATGCGTAAAGTCAATCGCAAGCGTATTTCAACAGCTACACGCTCGCGCCCCTGTATTTTCCTGCACGTTATGCCTGCGTAAATCTGCGCGGCGCGTAAACACACTGACTAAAGGCCTACTTTGAATATTCCAAATAATAGTGGGATATTTGAATTGTACAATACCTGGGGTTAGATCGCGCAAGGCATGGTGGGAACCAAGAGTGGCGCAGCAAGATTGCACCCGTGGGAATGAGGTTGTTATGCTTGCACTGATCGCCGTTTGCATGGAACCGGAAGTTAATTAACGCGCAACTTCAGCGATCATCCGATGAGAGCCTGCAAATTGTGGTGCATCCGCTTGTATGACGAAGTCACTTCCGAATCGGATAAAGAAGAGGACACGACTTGTGCCTGAATTCCGGCCAGCAAGGTGAAAACTATCTAAGGTGAACGCACTTTTGCCATGAAGAGCAACGTAAAATGCATTTGTTTTCACCTCGCACCTACCCGAGATCACGCAAAGCTGCGTCCGCGAATGGTATTTGCAATGAATATCATATTCATCCTGAATAGCCAGTCAGCATCACTTTCGTAGTCTACACGCCTAGGGGCTAGTGAAGGGACGAGGTTGATAATGAGGGTTTCCGGGTTTTCGCTCATGCGTGTATTCTCCCGGCAGTATAGGGGTTTTATTAGCTAGGCCTAATAATCTTGGAGTATAACAGGACTAACTTACAAGCTCAGAAATATTCACCAAGAAAGGTATTTAAGGGACTGGATTAAACGAAGAGGGTTTGTTCAAACAATATTATATTGCAGACACAAATGAGCTTGTCAAATTCGTGGGGCTCTTTTCCATTCTTATAAATTCGTAACAAATTTAACGAAGCAAACGTATAAAGGCAGGACGGAAAACTTAGGGGTTTCCAGGGGGGTGTTTTCACATTTTTTGTCTTAAAAGTAAGTAAAAATAAAGTTGTATAATGTATAATACGGAACAAAATCTTGGTTGCACCCTTACATGTTATACAAAAGGCACCTTTGTTTTCTCCATTCCCCTGAATTTATTAAAGATTACAGCTCTGCTCATTATAACACATCTAAAGTTTTTATGTTTCAGAAAAAACCTTTTGACGAATTTAAATTCTTTTATTCGTCAACTAATTATCCAATAATGGAATGCATATTTCCAGATTTGATGGTATATATTCTTGTATAATTTAAGCGATTCTTCGAAAAAACAAAGGGGACTGAAAGGGTTTCATTTCAATGCAAATACTTTCACATTTTGGCCTACTACTATAACGTTAAGTTATTCGTTTAACCTGTAATTATCAACAGAGATATGGCCCATTGCGATTGGTATGAATTTCCTAAAGTAAAATGGCACTTACGAATGAAAGGCAAGTCCAGTTGCACGGTTACCATCAGCCCGGACAGAGGGTATCTAACGGCGGTGCAAGTCCGAACACTGGTCTCCATTATAAACAATTTATAGGACACGGCGCCCGCCATGTTGTGCACGAAGTGGAGACCAATGGAAACACTTCACACCACCTTCCTTTGCTGATCAAGATGTACTTCATCTCGGGGCGGACAGGCAGCGCAGGACCGACTTTACAGCACTGGAGCCTCGGACTTCATGTTGACGCTGAGCAGTACCAAGCTTTGTTTTAGCTACACGTGGTGCGGAGCGTTTCCAAAATTGACAATGCATAGTAGAGTGAATTCCCAACTTTGCAATAATGAGTGTTTATGGTGCACTGTGGTTTAATCATATGTCGTCAAATTTTTCGTACAAGTTGGTCCCACATTTTTCGTGTAGGCCCTTAGCACAGCACCTTCCGTGTGTGTTCGATAATACGGCCCTGGATAAACGCGCCCATTCTTAAGTCCATCAAATTCAATTGTAGTTCTTTGCAAGAATGGAGAGAAGATCCCAAAAGCCTACCCCTTGTGATATCAAATTATCGAGAGAAAAATTATTAAAATTTCTATGATAATATAGACCTAATTGTTGTTATTATTAATGATCATGCAGGCCACATATTTCACTAAGGATAATATCTATTATATGAACACTCAGAGGCGGCTTCGATTCAAAGGGCAAAAAAGGACATTATCGAGCCAGAACTGACGTTTTTCAAGCTTGTGTTAAAACAAAATAATGCGAGCAAATATTCTCCACGAGGCGAGCTCACATTTTATTAAAATCGCAAGTACAGACTAAAAACAAAACAAAACTTTTACGATCGCCATTTTTTTAATATCGGACACGAGGACGTTGTTATGACATTATTTACGTTGCCATTGAAATGAGAAAAAAGCTCCCAAGGGTTTATTGTAATGATATTGACGTAGCTCGTCCAGTCTCGATCTAGTCTTTTAGTCGCCGTGGGACTAGGGAGAGTATTTAGATTCTGGAAGGGTTGGAAGATTTGCCATCAACTTACTGAAATTCGGGCACACTGTTCTCGCAACATGCCAGTTCTTCCTAGACAGGTCTACCGACAATTTTAACGCCTTCCCGAGTGAAAGCGTTAACTATAAATGACCATAAAAATCAAACCCCGGGTTGGCTTGAAAAGCCGTGGAGAATCGTCGTCCAGAAAAAAAGGAAAAATCGAATGGCTACAAAACCAACTTGCATGTGAATGGGTGGTGCTTGATCACTCAATAATTGAAATTTTCACCTTGTAAAATGATTGCAATAGAAACTAGAGCAAAGCAAAATGAAACATTGGCGATTTGTGTTTGTTTCAGCCCCATACATGATGTGGTCGGGAGCTCCTCAATTATGTGACTTCAATTAGCAATTATTGACTTCTTGGATGTGGAATATGATAACCTAACACCCGAGGTGAAGCCGAAGGTGCTAGCGCCCCCAAGGGTGTCAAAACATCATTTCCCACTTCACAACAGCCAACAATAGTTTTGTTTACCTCTCTCGGATTCTTTACAATGATTTCCTCTCCTAAGGTGTCCAGGATTTAATTGAAACAAGTGTCTCGATCCATTGCAGCTACACAGAAAGTTGCACGACGTGCGCCGACTTGTTGCATAGCGGTATGTCTTGCGCAAAAGCAAGACATACCAAAAGAATTGCTAAAGGATAATCTGCATGTGTCTTTAAATTTTATGTTGAAGAACTCATGCGAAGAAATGAGCTTCACATGAAATTCAACCCTTATGAAATTACAGCGCTCCCAGTGATACGAGTGGGATTGCACTCCCTAGCATCCGTAGGACACTCGCATCTCAGAAGAAAAAACTGAAGCAGGAAAATGACCCTCGCCGCCGTCATTTCAATTATAAACCAACAAGGAAGAGGCTGAAATCCAGGC